CCCCCCCCCTTTTCTCTTTGCTTTTCTCTCTCTCCATCTCTCTCTCCCTTTCATCTACTCGGAAGGCTTTACTCTACTTCCTTGTCACCCTAATTGATTGCATTAACCTTTCAGCGTATTGGATTTCCCCAGCACCGTGCAGAGAGCACTGTGCAATATGCTTATAATCTGGGCTGTAATGGACAGGGAGCAGTCAACGAGCCCGTGCTCCAACAGGTTCCGCTGACAACTTGTTCTCAGGGCGGGGGAGAGAGAAAGAGAGAGGCTGATGGGGCCTCTGTCCTCCCGTGCCCAGCCCAGGCGGCCTGCAGCTGGCCAAAGCCCAGTGTGTCTTTTACAAAACCAGGAGGCTGGGGGCAAATCTATTTGGCATCCTCACCTGCCTGCACACCCCTGTCCTTAGCCCTTCTCTTTCCTCAGGCCCTGTAGGTCATGTACGTGGAGAAGCCAGGCCCTTCCCCAAGGATCTCACCTGGGGTAACTTGGATCCTGTGCCTCAGCTCCCCTCCCCACATTCTCTGCATTCTTATCCCACTGCTACATCACTTATTATAGGCCGTGCATTGAGGATATGTCTGCAAAGGGCAAGGGCTGTGATACCTGTACTGGGCTCTGTTTGCATTTTAATGAGGTGGTGGGGTTTTTCTCTCCTAATTTCACTTAAATTCCATTAAATCCAGCCAGGACTGGCGAGCTAGACTTTCCCTCGGATGGCTGGAGACCTAAACAGGCCATTGTGCTGGTGAGGGAGTGGGCTACCAGAGGGGTAACCCAATGCTGGCCTGGCCTCAAGCAGGTGCCTCGGTATCTGTGGTGTAGCAGAGAGCGGTGATTTTTACCTTCCTGGGTAAAGACTATACTGTGTGCCGAGAAAGGCAGTGGGCAAGGGCTCAGGTTGTTAGCACTGCAGCTGCAGGAGAATATGGAAGTGACTGTAAAGGGGTAGTGAAGCCAAGCAGCCGAGTTTCGCTGCTCACGTAGGCAGCAACACAGGAAGTGGTGCAAAGTGTGTGAGACTGGCGAAGCCTGCCAGGCTGCAGGTGGGGATGGACGCCTCCAGCAAATTGTTTTTAAAGGACTAAACAACTGGCCAAGGATTTTTTCTCCTGCTGGCGCTCACCTCAGGGTGCCAGCCTGCACCGCCTGTGTTCTCCCAAGCTAGGCTTCAAAACAGCAAGGTGCTTGAACCACCTGCGTAAGTCCCATTAAAATCAAAGGGCACAAGCTCAAATGCTTTGCTGAATTGTGTCCGCAGGGCCAGCCTCAAAGCCCATTCAGGGACTGGCCTGGTGTTCCAGGTTTGCACAGTGTCCTGGGGCCCCTTACACACTACTGCAGCACAAATAAGAAGTCATAGCACTGGAAAGACTTCCATTGACTTCAGTGGGCTGTGTCAGGTGCTTTCTGAGTTAGTGGAGAGTTACCAGTGCCTGTTTCTGGTGAGAGTGACCCCTGCACCCCTTGAGGCAGTAACTTGTCTTTGGAGGCCTTGCATGCTACTGGGATATCTGGGAGGAAAGTGGGAAGGATGCTGTGAAAGACAAGAGGTAGGGACAGCTGTATTCCCAGGTCCCTTGTCACCAGGAAGAGGAGAGAGAGAATGAGACAGAAAAAGAGAAAGAAACTTTATTCCATGCACTCACCCCCTAAAGTGGGAGCTTAGTTACTGACCCAGAGAGGGAGAAGGGACTTTATTTTAGGGGGAATAAAGTAGGGAAGAGGGAAAAGAAGCAAAGGAGGACAAATTGAAATGAAAGAGAGAAAGAGAGAGAGAGACAGCAGCACCTCTTAAATGGAAGAGTAAACAGGCACTCGGAGGCATTAACTTAATTGATTGTTCTGCAACAGGCTGAACGCTGTGTTATTCTGTCGCCGTGGCAACAACCCAAAAAAATTGTCAGCCTGTTTGGATGAAGTGAAGCGAAACATTCTCTAATTTGCGGTGATCCGGGTGTTTGTTTTCCTTCCGAGAGGGCGGGGGCTCCAGTGAGCTATTGTTTGCACAAAGCTTTTTTTTTTTATGAAGGGGAAAGGGACTGGGAAGGAAGGGGGCATTTCCCCCCATGCACCCCGGTTTCGGGAGGAGGAGGGCCGTGGAGTGAAGGCAGCCTGTTCTCCGCGGCAGGAACAGTAACTCTGCTCCCTCTGATCAGCCTTGGCAAACCGGCATCACTGATCCACCGAAACTCCGGTGACAGGAAACTTTTGTGCCGGGGAGAAATCTCAGGGAAAGGAGGAGATGCTTGGCTCACGTGGGACTCTGCCAGGGTTGACACTTTGATGATCTTCTGGGCAAGTTCTTAGACTGTGCCCATCACCGCGGCATGTAAGCTGTCACCCCATGAGTGCTGTAATCCCTGCCTGGGGTGGGATGGAGGGGCAGCTGGGCCTGGCCAAGGACAAGAGTGTCTGGGAGCTGCTGAGTGAGATCTTTATTACATTGTTCTTGAGCCCCATTTGCATCGCAGTCCTTCAGGCTAGGAAAGAGCAGCCATAAATGCCTTGGGGGCAACAGTGTTTCCCCCATGCATGGCTGCTTGCTTTGCTCCTGTGTGTGCATATCTTCATGCATAGGATGCAGTGGGGCAGAGAGAAGACATCCTCTGGTCCCAAGATCTCATTTGCAGTAAGGCTTAGGACTGACAAGGCTCTGGCACTTTTCTGCTCCTTACACACTGCCACACACAGTTCTGTTACTGCTTCACCCCAGAAAGGGACTGTATGAGCCGTGTACAGCCTTGAACAGTGCCACATGGCGAGGTAGGAATGGGGAGGCAGGCAGCCAGCGGAGAGCACGGGTGGGGTTTACTGTGGGCAGGAAGAAGGAAATCCCCAGAGGTGCTATTTGTCCCTGACTCTGGGGTGAGTGGCGCGACACTGAAAGGGCACCACAGTTACCTCTGTCCCTTGCTGGGTGTCTCATGTAGCACTGTGCCCCAGGGACTAGGCTGGAGCTCCTGGGAGCATCACTCGCCATCAGCAGCTGTTCACTGTCCAAGTGAAATGTCACTGCTCTGAGAGTGAACTTCAGCTGAGAAACGAGCAGGAGAAACTTGACGGATCAAGGAGTGAGCCTGCATGGTGAGAGTAGAGCAGGCAGAGGTGGGGCCATGCCCGTGGCTCAGCTATGCGGCTGTGCCACTGACCTGGCACACTCCTGGCACTGAGCTGGTTCCTCCACTTGTGTTTGGGCAGTCACACCCCCATCCATGGCCAGTGGACTCAGGGGAGTTGACTCCTGTTCCCTCCCAGCTTGGAGACATTCCCATATGGCCGTGCAGCCAGCACCACTCCCCAGCAGTGCCACAGCCCTCCCGCAGCTGCGGTCTGGCTGAGATACAGGCACTCCTGGGGGTCACAGAGTCCATGCCTGTGATTTGAAGGAGAGCTGTAGAATATATTAGTGTCAGTCGCCAGAGAGTGCTGCGAGGGGAGGCCGGCACATCCCTGCTGTCTGTCTGGCTCCCTCTCTCCTCTCCCTATTGCTTTGTCTCCTTCCTCCCCTCTGTTTGCCTTCCCTTCTTTTCTCTTTGCCCCATACTGCTAGTCTCCCACTCCCTCTCTCTCGCATCACTCTCTTTGCTCCCTCTCTTGATTTGCCTGCCCACTTCCCTGTTACACTCCCTCCATCCCACTGTCACTCGCTCCCCTGCTCTGTTCATGTCCCCGGCAGTCAAGGGTCTTTGTGCTGGGGATTACATGCAGCCTTCAGCTGTAGCTGGCTGGTGTCAGATGCCCCTCAGCAGCTCCCTCCTGTTCAAGGATCTGTCCCCCTTAGGTCTGCGGTGGGCCTGGCAGGGTGCGGGAGTTTGTCCCTGAGGAGGAAGCTGAGCTGCCAGTGAAAGTTTGGTAGTTATTAGTGTCAGGAGAAGCTAAATAACTATAACTGGTATGAAGGTGAATTCATGGTCTAGTGAGCACTGAAAATATGAGAGGGCTCTGAGACAGGCAAAGTGCGGCGAGGGGAATACAGCTCAACCCTGGCTCAAGGCAGTGCCATGCCTCCAGAGAAAGGAAGGGAAATACGTACCCATTACCCCCAGGCTTGCCAGTGTCTGGGTATTGCCCTTCAGTAGTGGCTGGCCAGGACAAGAAGGCTGCTCTTTCACATAACGAGCATTGCTGAGAGGCATGTTCATGCACACTTGTATGAATACATATTAGACACACACACAGTTCTGTAGAGACATGTGAAACTGGGAACACACACCACACTGCACCTCCAGAGTCCTACGTGTAGTCACCCTTTTGCACACACACACACGAACATGAATGTGGACGCACAAAGATACAATGAGGTACACTCTCTTGTGCAACTCCACAAACACACGAGCGCGCGCACACAACGCAAAAGCACTCCTTGCTGCCTACATTAGACACACGGAGACAAATTAAGGCAAACTCCTCCCTGGTGTGACTGCACTGAAGTCAGACTGTGGAGATGGCTTTGTCCTGGCATATCCTGAACGGTCTGTGCAGCTACCTGCTGTGAATGAAAGCCGAGATGCAGGAAACCTCCAGCTGGGAGAGGCTGATGCCTGGGAATACCGGGAGCTCTGCTGAGAGGAAACCCCCTTCAGCTTTTCACTTGGAGCTGGTAATCTCCCTGCTCCGAGTCCCTGAAACAGGGGAATTGCATTTGAAGCGCAGCCAGTGGCGATTTAGTGGCAGACATTTGCAGAAGAGACTTTGATTAATTCATAGTAAAATAAAGTAGTGCTCAGGTGCCAGCACCACATTCCAGAGTGAGCCAGTGACCTAGGTACGCGCTGGGCCAGGTGCCAGGTGCCTGAGCAATCCCCGCGGAGGTGGCCGCGCCATCCAACCAGCAGCCTCTCCCTGCTTGGGCTTCTTAATTATTGATATTTTTTTTACCCCTTCCCTGGCAAAAAAATAGTATTTGGTAACAACCTCAAATTGCAAAATACTGATGATTTGGAGAATGTGTCACTGAGGCTCCAGGGTGATAAAGGGGAGACAGAGCCCAGCCAACAATCCGGCTTAGCCAGTTTGCCTATTTATTAAGAAAAAGCCCAGATCATTAACTTTTTTGTTGTTTTTCTGTTTGCGGGCAACTCCCCTGCTGGCAACTTTCGGGCAGCTGACAAATTAAACTTGGTATCGGCTTGGGTAAGTGGTAAAGGCAGCAACAGGACAGCTTAATTCTTGCTGGAAAATCTGAAAGAAAGAGGGTTTCTTTGGGTTGGTGGGTGAGCACCCAGGTAAAAACATTCTCTGGCACAGATAGCAACTCACCTGAGTTAGTGGGAGATGTATCCCAAGAAGGTTCCTCTCAAAGCCAGTAGAGATACCCTGTGTGCAAGATCCTGGCTGGCAGGCAGCATTGCTGCTGGTGAGGGCTGGGGGTTCCTGAGCTCTGTGTAGTGGCCAGCCCTTTTGGTTGGTCAGCAAGGAGGTCGGAAGTGTTGGTTCCTAGCAGACGTAAAGTCTGTTTGGGAACGGGAGGTTCAGCTGTACAGCTGCTCTCCCAGCCTGTCACTGATTCACACATTGACGTTGCTCTTAGATCCCATGTCCAAGGGCAGGGAGGAGGCTGGCAGCCTGGCAGAGCAGCTCCTGGCACAGGTTGTGTTGATTCCCTTTTCACCTGACTGTCTTGTCCGTTAGCTGGGAGGAGAGGGGCTTGGGAATGCATTTTCCTGCCTGCTGTATTCCTGACATTGGGATAGGCTTGCTTATACCTTATGGAAAGGTACCCTGTTGTGCCGCTGTGTATACGATGGAGTAGCTCTGCAAACTTCTGGCTCTAGTGTGCCCAAACTGCAGCTCAGGCCCAGACAGGGCTCCTTCAGCGATTTTATGAGAACCTTTATCAGGACCACGTCTATCAGCGATCTGTCTGGGCAAGACGCTGAAGCTAGGACCTGCCTTCCCTGCTGTTGGGAAGCACAGTTCTCTGCTTCCCTTCGGATATCCTCACCTGCCTTCCCTGGGGTCTAGAACAGAGAGACAGGCAGAGCTGCCAGCAAAACTGCCATTGACTCCCCTTGGCCCCGAGTGGTCATTCCCAGAGCTGCCATCAGCACGTGGGAGCTAGCTCGTGGTCAAGAGCTTGTGCTGGAGACAGGATCTGACATCCTGCTGGGGGATTTCTAGACCACTTCTGTAATGGAGTCAGTTTTGTATGAGGCTGGGCTTTACGTTTTAATGTCAACATCCTTGCAAGACAGCCACCCTCTGCCTCCTCCCTGATACGACACACACCCTCTCTGCTGCCATCCCTTTGGCAAAGGTTCACGTGGGCACTGATGGGAGGAGAAAGGGTATTTTTCAAGGTTTCTACTGGGTTTTTTTTTACTCTGAAATATAAGGATGTGCAATTTTTTTAGTTTCAATTTAGCATTGGAGAATTTTATAATTTAGTAATTAAAATCTCTGATAGGCTTTAGAAATTGCAGCTAATTGAATTTAATGGGAAGATGATTTTCAATTTTATTTGATTACCCGGACCCCTGGCATTGGTATTTATGGGAAAAAAATGGGAAATGTGCTGTGTGGGCTAAGATGGCATAATTGAATTAGGGCTAATCGGATTTCTTCGTCATGAATTTCACTATAATTTTCCTATAATTTTCCATTAGATATCTAGTTTACAAATATTCACAAAGAAATGAAGCTCTTTCGGAATGGAGATTGCTGGCTAACAGGATTACAGGGACGAGAGCTCGGCACTGCCAGCCCGGGCTCCTTCAGTAATGCAATCGCTACGTCTGCCTCACACTTCCCGCCCGCCGCCGTTGCCCCCCGCCTCCCTCCTGGCTCATCATCCAAGCCTCCTGCGTGGCCACTCTTTCAGCAGGGCCTTTATGGCCTCTTCACCTGGAGGTGGCCAGTGCACACAGCCAGCATGTGGGTCAGAGCACACATGCACTAACATGCTCGCTGTGTCAGCACGCAGAGGCACATACCCAGGGTCAGCGCGCATGCACACTCCTGCATGGTGGCAACGTGCACACACGTATGCACGCTGTGTCGTGGGGAGTCCCCCACCCCCTTGCTTCCCTGCCACACATTGTATTGTGCGGAGATTCTCCCCCACTCCCTTGCTGCTGGCAGGATGGGGAATCTGTCCCCATTCGGTTCCTGTCACTGGCTGCATCATGGTGAATTCCCATTGCTTGTTCCCTGTCACCAGTTGTCACAGGCTATCCCAAATCCCCATTCTCTGCCCCCCTTGTCATTTGCCTTTGCCCCCACTTCCGGCCAGCCTGATGGTGTTGAGGGCTGGAGCCATGCTCCCAGTGCCAGCCCTGCCTGCCTCTTCCAAGGAAGGTCAGCACTTTCCATCCACACTCCCATGGGCTGCCCACACAAAAGGCACCCCCCGACACAGCTTTCAGCTAGCCCCGACTATTGTCTCATCAGAACGGGCTGCTGTCAGCTGAGTAGTGCCCTCCACAGCGCCTTGCCTGCTTCTGAGCAACGGCTGTCATCAAGTGTCTGTGCTGCTCTGTCCTCCCCACCCTGCTTCCACACTCCATCTATCCCTCTCTTACTCTTCATGTGTTTTAGAGCAGCGCCTGCCCCTGGCTCACTGTGCCAAACAGAGCCCACCAGCTGCACCATCCAGGCACCCTCCCATTTCCCTCTCTTGTGTCCCCATTTCTTTCCTGATTCCAAATAGGCCAACCCCGGAGACTAAACTAAATGAAACTACCCCCTCACCACCCCTCAGATCCAGATGTTGCTCTTCCTCCCCATTGCTGCACTCTCCATCCCACCCACCCTGTGGTCTCTCGTGTCCCCCTCCATCCGCTCAGTGCTGTGCATTTGCACACACCCACTTTCCCTCAGGATACAGGGGCTCCACCTGAAACCACACCATATCTGTCCTCTCTACCTCAGTTACTTGCTAGGGGTCCTGTGGCACCTGACAAAACCCATTGTCCCACCTAGCTGTGCCTAGGGAAGCAGTCACCCAAGAGGAAGCCCAATCCATTGAGTGAACAAGAGGGGCAGACCGAACTGATGATTTTCACCTGATCTGGCCCCTGAAAGTGCCCTACAACTGTGACCAAATACAAGTGCATGGCTGCAGAGCACTTTAAAAGGGCCCAATCCTGCAAAAATATAAACCCTCACTACATGAGGGTTCAGATGAAGGCTCTGCAAAGCATGGCACCTTCAGTAGCTTGTGTCTGCATATGCTGGGAGCAGGGCTGAGCTGGGTCAGGTGTCTTTACATGTGTATCTGGAGTCCTTGAGCTTGCACATGCTCAAGTGTGGGCGCTGGAATGAGGCAGACTGACTGCGACTGTGAACTTTTGGGGGCAGGGACTCTTTGGTCGGTGTGTATACAGCACCTGCCCATTGGGGCTTTAGTCCATGAGCAGAGCTCCTAGGCACTAACCCAAAACTACTGCTAATATTAATTGATAATCACAGGTCTGCCAGAGACTTATTGAGAGTTAATCCTGGTGCCTGCCGCACAGAGACAGTGCTGGGGAGGTTTCAGCCTGTGGCATTTAGGGCTAGACTACGGTAAAATTGTCCCAACTCCCCACCAAAATGCCTGGCTCACACCAGGCAGCCGTTTTAATTATTGCTGTTAATTGTAACTATTTGTTAGCAGCTTCAAATGCCTGCTGTCCTTCCCCCACAAGAGTCCTGGGGGCCCTTGTGCAGCATGCCAAGTGTATGTTCTCTGCTTTGTGGCCTGCTCCGGTTACAACAAATCCCCGGGGGCAGCAGTCAAGTGATGAACAGCACTTGGCTGGGGCACCTGCTGAAGGAGCTGGGATCCCTGGAAGAACAGCAGCTACATGGCAAGAAGAGGGGAGGGGGCACAGGACGAGTGTCAGATTGTTTGAGTAAGACCCAAGGAATAGCAAGTGGCATAAGCTAGCCATGCAGAGCCCCACCCTGTATACTGATACTCAGCACAGGTGATTTGGCAATGCCTGTCAGGCTCGGCATGCCAATAAAATGATTGAAACTGAATTGAGAAGGAAAGGAGTGAAAAAGTAGGAAAGGGGAAGAAAGTACAGATTGTCTGCTCCTGCCTCCCAGGCCCTGAGGGTTCTGGGCACCTCCCTTGATGAAAGAGAAGTCAAACAAAATTGCAGAAAGAGGGCAAGAGCGTTTGCTTAATAAACTCCCGAAGTGGGAGGGGGAGGGCTCCCCAGACCCACAGCCCAAAAGCCAGTATGTAGCCCAGGCATGTGCAAAGCAGAGTGGATAGTGGTTGAGTTAGCCCAAGCCCAGGGGATGGACAGGAAAAGAGGTGAATGGAGAGAGAGGCAGGAAAACATGGGGGCAAGAGAAACATGCTGCGGGTGCCCTACCTACTGTTCTCCCTCCCCAGCAGCACTGCGTCCCCTGCTCAGCCCTGCCATGGTCTCCACAGGCAAAGCATTAACCTGCAATAACAACATTTAATTAATCATCCCGCACCCTCCCATTGCACCTTTCATCTGTGGATCTCCAAGCACCTGGCAAACAATTAATTAAAGCTCTTAGTGCCCCTGGGAAGGAGGGCAGGGACACACACACAGATTGCTTCACTTGCCACTGAAGTGCAGCCACCTCTGGCATGGAACAGGGCATCTGGTAGACACAGCAGGGTGATATTGTGTTACAATTCAGGCTAGGATAATAGACACTACCCTGCCTCCAGGTGTCTCTAGGGTCAGGGCATACAGGAGCTGCCTGTACACCACAAAGTACAACTTTGCCTTTGGGATGATCACTCCCAAGGAGGAGGGGAGAGGGATGGGATGGGATGGGATGGGGTAGGGGAGCTTTTTAAATGCTTTACAGGGAGGACTGACCAAGCAAGAAGCCAGGTGGTCCCAGAAGGAGGGAAGGCAGCCTTTGCTTGGGTAAGAGGCAAGGGTGGGAGGATGGGGAAATAAAAAATGACTGGAGATCTCTGAGATACGAAATCAGGCCTAAGCGTTGCGTCAGCTCCAGGGCGGGAGCCTCACCTGAAATGACACCTCTGTAGGGAGAAGTAGGAGGGGTCATGGGGATCCCACACCTGAGCCTGTGGAGGGGAGTCCTCGGAAGTGTGTGCACATGTTTGTCTGCACGGTGCCTGCACGTGCACTTGAGTGCCTGAGCTACTGTGCTTTTGCAGGAGTGTCTGAGCATGCATGTATACATTGATGCATGAATGTTCATGTTTGTGTATACGGGAGAGTATAGGCAGTGAGGAGGGTGCATCTCTGTGGGACAGTATGTACTCGCTGCGTGTACCTGTGTACTGGCATGTGCATGTAACTGCGTGTATGTGTTTTCCCTCCTGGGTTGTGAAACACAGAGCTTGGGCTCTCGGCGGACAGTGGCGATGAATACAAGTCGTTCCCCCCATTTAATAATGACGTGTCTGTAGGAGAAATTAGAGTGAAGAACCTGAGGGACAAAGGATGCGTCTAGCTTTATGAAACAGAGGGGAGATTGTCCAGAGGCTTTGGCTCTGAGAGCTGGCATGAGGCTGACATCAAGTTGCAGGAGCCTGGAAGTAGCAGAGCGATAGCTGGGATTCTTTGATTCAAAACAACTTCTTTTTGTTAGGAATAAAACCTTCCCTCTCAGGGACTGCAGCCCCCTCATGGCCATGTCTCGCCAGGACAGTGGACCCAGGGAGTGGCACGGATGAGAGCACGAAGGGGGCTGGCAGGCTGGTGTCATGTCCTGGGCTGAGTGAGGTGTGGATAGCTAGCAGGTGTCATTCAGAAGGCAGTGCTGGGTTATTGTGGTGGTGGAGATTGCAGCCACTGTCAGCAACCCAGCACTGAACAGTGGGTGTGTTGACTTCTGGTTTTTATGCTAGGGGCACCTTTAGAGCAGGAGTTTGGTTTCTTCAAGCTGGAAGGGAACTCCAGTATGATGGCTTTGGGGGCTTTTAATCCATCAGTGATATGGAAAGCTGTTAAAATATAGGGCTCCAGTCACCCCCACTGATGCTGGTGCACAACCCAGGTGCAGGTCCCACATCCAGCTGCAGCACTGGTTGTAACTGTGCATGGTGCCTGCAACATCTGCTCCACCAGGGGGCCCACAAGCCTGAAGGTGGTGGGCAAGTCCCAAGTGGGAGAGGGGGCATATGGCACAGGTGCCCTCTGACTGGGGATGCTCCTTTCCCTTTCCACCTGCAAATGCCCCACATTTGTGACTAGGTCAGACCATGCCAACCTCGTGTCCTGGCCCATCAGTGGAACAAATGTTCCTGGCCCTGCGCCCTGTGTCTTATTTGATG